GCAACAGCAGCAGACCGAGGAAAGGGCAAAGGTGGAAGCACCTCCGGTACACCTGCGTCGACGGTGACCTTCAAGGACCCCACACCGGCAACGGACCCGTCACTGTTCGTTCCACAGGACGAGACGAGGCAGGTCAAGCTGCAGAAGGAAAAAACRGTGTGGAAGTACGCGGAAMAGGGACAGGAGGTYGGGCCGAATGCACGAGGCGAGTATTGGGTGAGGTGTCGGTTATGCTCGCAGATTTGGAGGGGCACAAGCACAAGGGCGGTCGAGCATTACCTGAAGCCGCAGAAGCCATGTCCGTCGAGAATAGGGGAGATTGTCAACGAGCTCGTCACTGGTGGGGGGAAAGTGCAGCCGGGTGACAAGAATACACGGTACCTCCTAAAAAATTACAGGCAGCTGCATGGAATTCCGGAGGGGGGGGTCGTTGCAACGGAGACAGCCGGGGTGGAGGACGATCTCCCCGGATACCTGGAGCCACAACCACCGCCCACTGCAGGCAGGGCTGCTGCAAAAACTGACGTGGGAGCATCGCAGCAGGTTAGTGCTCCGGATGGGGGGTTGGGAGAGGGTTCAGCGTCGAACACACGAGTTTCCACACTGCATCAGTCGACAATAAGGAGGTGGGTGGACAATGACGCGCAAAAGAAACTGGACGTCGCGTGGGCGGAGGCCATGTTTCGTGTTGGAATTCCATTCAACTTCCTCAATTTCGAGACCACTCAAAAACTCCATGAGGTGTACTTGCAGGTGGCAAACGCTAGACCGCAGGTGAAATTGCCCTCCTACAAGCACATGAGAACGTGATGTTGGACTTCATCTACATGCGTGTACAGAAGTCCGTGGAGCCTTTGACAACTTGCTGGGATGTAACTGGATGTACTTTCATCACAGATGGGTCGAGTGATCGTCGCGAGCGGCCGGTGATGAACTTCTTGGCTGCTTGGGAAAGTGGTGCAGTCTTGGTGGCGACGGTGTCAATGACGGGGAGGAAGAAGACCGCACCTGCATTGGCAAAATTGTGGGAGTAAATTCTGAGGGAAATTGGGGTGCATCACATCAATGCGATCTGCACCGACAACGCGGGGGTGAACAAAAGGGCCGCTCAGATCTTGGAGTGCCGAACAGACAAGGACATTGCAAGGATCCCATGGGTTCCTTGTGTTGCGCATTGCTGCAGCCTTCTTCTACGGGACCTCAGCAAGCTCGATTGGGTTAAGAACACCGTGAAGAGGGGCCACACGATCGTGAAGTTCATCAGAAATCATCACAGYACACAGAGTCTGATGATGTCCTTGGATGATTCGTTGTCTCTGCTTCGGCCTACAGAGGTTCGCTTCGGGTCTGTCTACCAAATGTTGGAGAGGATTCGCGATAGGAGGGCGGTGTTGAAGGACATGGTTGATGGACGAAATGCAGGAAAGTGGAAGGCGATTCGGTGGTCTACAACGAAGTTGAAGGCCAGAGCGGATTTGGTGTACTTCACTTTGCGGAATGACAATTGGTGGATAGAGTTGCACAAGGTGACTGAGGTGATGGAGCCCGTGTACAGCCTTTTGAGGCGGATGGATAAGGACGGGACTTCTCCCACAAACCTCGTAGAGTATGACGACCCTTATAGAGAGGAAGTTCGCGCACATCGTTCTAACGGCGGGGAAGCGGGCGAGCATAATGGACAGAGTCAAAGATCGCATCAAGATGATGCGGCAGCCCGTCCACGCATTGGCATTTCTTCTGGACCCATACAAGAGAGAGTCGAGGTGGCTGCACGATCAAGACAGCGCGCTTGTGCAGAATGCGATGCGTTTCCTTTCGAGGCAGATCGGAGGTGCTTGGAAAGGGCCGGAGCACGTCGAGATTTGGGGTGACCTGGCCGAGTTCCACTCCAAGCCCACAAGGAACGGCCCAAAGAGGAAGGACACAAAGATGTGGGACCCCACAGCGMAGGCAGATGTTGAGAGGAAGACACCGTCAGAGTGGTGGGCAGCACATGGTGGCGATGTGCCCGAATTGCAGAAGATTGCGATCAAGGTTATGGGCATGTGGAGCACTGCATCACCGGCGGAGAGGAATTGGGCTTCCATGGACTTCGTCCACTCCAAACGAAGGAACAGCTTGGCGCCGGAGAGCTTGGAGAAGCTCGTCTACATCCACTGGAACATGCAGCTGTTGCGTCTTCCGGAGACTAAGGACGGGGGCTATGTGGATTTGTGGAGTATATTCGTCGAGCCCATCCCGGAGCCTGCAGAGGACGACGGATCATTGTTGAAGGGGCCCGAGGACGAGGCCGAGAAGACAGAGGAGGAGCTTGTTCGGGAAAGGAGGCTCGTGAAGACTCCAAAGGGAAAGATTCCCAAGAATCTCGAGGACGTTGAGGAAGAGCACACGGACGACAGTGATTTGGACGACGAGCTGTGGAAGGGGAAGTGTGGAGCGTCAGACGATTCAAGTGCCAGCGAAGAGGAGGCTGATGTTGATTCCGATTTTGAGCTGCAACCGGAGCCTGCAGTCCCGGGCACAATGTATGTAGGCAGGAGGCGAACTGGACGACAGCGTAGAGAGGAGCCACGCCCAACAGCAACACCGGCCACAGCAGGGGGAACAGGACAGTACGATCCGCAGCTCGACGTCAACTTTGCACAGCCAGATACGGACCTCGAGATGTTGCTGCAAACCGGGGTTGACGAAGATGAAGAGGATGCCAACCGTGCCAAGGCTATGGCTGACAGGGACAGCGACCTAGTCCGAAAACGGATGATGGAGGAGGAGGCCCGCCGTGCASCTGTCCCAACCSGCAGAGAGATTGAGAGAGGCCAGAAAAACGCCTTGGAGCATCAACAGCATATGGATCGGGCTTTGGGGGTCGTGGAAGAGGTAGAAGAGGAAGAAGAGGAGGAGCAGCGGCAACCAGAGGAGGGAGAGGAGATGGAGCGGCAAGAATAGGGGGACGACGTGATGCAACGAGAGGAGGGAGAGGACATGGAGCAGCAAGAAGAGGGCGAAGACGTGATGCAACAAGAGGAGGGAGAGGACATGGAGCAGCAAGAAGAGGGCAAAGACGTGGTGCAACCGCATGAGGAAGAGGAGACGGAGCAGTAAGAAGCGGGTGAAGACGTGGTGCAACCGCATGAGGAAGAGGAGATGGAGTAGCAAGAAGAGGGGGAGGGCATGGTGCAGCAGGAGGTGCAGCATGACGTGCTTGGAAAGGCCCTCGAAGACAAGCCCCAGTCCACAGCAACAGCTGTGTACACACGCAGGCCACGACCAGCGGACTCTCCGGAGTCCGCGGATAAGATGCCGAAATTCCCTGAGATAAACGAGGCTGTCCAACATGACAACCTGTGGGTGAGCAGGGTTGGCAGGAAAAGAAAGGACCCATCACAGGACGCCCCTGCACAGCCCAAACGTGCTCGTGGCAGGCCTCAAAAGAACAAGACCGAAGCGCCCGCTGCACCGGCTCAAAAATAAAAACAGCGCCGCAGGCGCAAGACGGTGGTGGAGGATGACCCGGATTCGGATGACGGCAGCAGACAGTCATCTGAGGAGGAGGGCTGCTACGCTGATTCCGAATGAGATCAGCAGCTCTTAAGAGTGTGTGTGTGTACGTGTGTGTGTGTGTGTGTGTGT